CACTATCCAATAAGGCGGAAAGTATACTTCGTCGTTCGAGTTTGCATATTTTCAAAGACATTCTAAACGATTCTAGGGCTATCGGCGACGTTTTGGAATGATCATTCGGGATTTGATCAAAGACAGATACCCGTGATTACTAATATGCTATTTTTTAAATTCATTTCTCCGAGTAAATATCCGAAATTATTAGATTTCTATTTCAAAACATGCTGTAAATAACGCCGTGAGTGGTAATTTAGTAATGTGTAAGAAAATGGCGACATTTACTATGTATCTAATTTTCAGTACTTTTACTTGGCCCAAAATGCCAATGGATGATATGACCAAACAGAGAAATTCCCACAGTATTCAAAACTGTGAAGTGTATCTAGATCTATGTGGTGTAGTTTGAATTTTATTCGACTTCAATGTGAGGGTTGAAGAGGAGGGACATATATGACCATCTGGCAGGTTCTCTACTTTTTTAGGAATTTTGTAAGCCTTCATTATGGACAAGGTGTAAATGGACCTAGTTGCCGAAAATCTATAAAATCTTCAAAGATCAATCAATCAATCAATCAATCAATCATTAATTAATTAAAGATTGCAGTCTACTTTTGATATAATATTTACGTTAACTGTTCTTAGGACTGTGTTGCCCTGTGTGATTTACTACGCATCTTAGAATAGCGACCGTGACAGTTACATTGTACAGTGGTGGTATGGTAGAACTATCCATGAAACGTGATAGCTTTCTATATTGTCAATGGAACATAGATTTTTTAAGAATTGACTTCAATAATTCAGTTTATGAAGTTATTTGAAAACGAAACAGCTGGAGTGCAAACTTTGTGTTAATCCGCAAAAAAATATAGAAATGAATTCTTGTAAATAAATATGTCAACAATAATAACTTTGCAGCTATTTTAACCATTTAGAGGGCATGATCTAATTGTTTTAGGTTTATGGGAATATACAAAAGCAAACAAAATCATCGAATGTCAGAAATACATTTTTTTTTATTGTCTGTCTTCACTTCGAATTCAACCCATGAACCACTTTTAATGCGCCGTAGCACTCTAAAAGATTAGCGAGACTGTTCTCAGTTGGATTTTGTTGGTCTAGTTTCCACCCTATAAAATTGCCCGCCATCAGATTTTGGTTTTCCACAGCAAACGCAAGATGACACGCTTTTCACAGGTGTGTCGCTCCCCTGTATCGGCATAAGCGTAGCCATTTTAGAAAATCACCGGATGTGACGTCAAATAAACACGCTGAGTGTTTTTAATTTTGGCCACACTCCGTCGCAGTGGTGACTCAGCATAACACCACTGCCACAGGCTAATTTGCATATCACGTGACCGGACTTTTCTCTTGTTTGTAAACAAACGCGCTTTTTCAGAAATCAGTATAGATCGGACTAATGCAAGTATTTGGGGGCGCTTTACATATTGTTTTGCATAACTATATAGATATGCTACTACAACTGCGACAGTGAGTTGCATGACAATATATATTTATGCATCAAAGTGACCGTGTCGCTAGCTCTCCGTTGGGCTTAGATGACAGCACGTGGAGCCAATGTAAACATACAACCAATGTAAACATAGGATAACTATGCAAAAACAAGTAGATTTTTACGGGATTGCCTAAAAGTCGGGCCAAGAAAAGTCGGGCCGGGCCGGGCCAGCGGGTAATACTAAAAATGGATTGCAGAATAATAAAACGAAACGCGCATATCTAGGCAGATCTCAAATGTCCACAAACGTATAGTTTTGCTCATTTAATTGAGTTTGAATAAAAATGCACCTTCAACAATATAATAAACTGATGATTATGACTACATACCGTGAGTCTCGTAGAAAAGTCAGCGTCTTGACTGTGTATTCTTTGATTAGAATGCTTCTCACCGACCTTAGCGTGTAAAGGTGTGATGACCTGGGCAGGAAACGACAGTGTTTTGACTACTCTTCTTTCATTAATTAACGTGTTAAGGTAATTAACCTTTACTAATTCGTGTTAAACCAACACAGGATGTTTTCTGGAAGTGGATATTCGCGAATGTCAAAAGACTGACACGACACGTGTTAATAACTGTCCAAGCACTTCTAAAGTTCCTAACATTATTTATATCTAAAGACTAGTATTTTATCTAATTATTTACCACTTTATTGTCTCATATTTCAGCAGTTAAAGAAAACACAGAGCTCAAAGTGAAGCCCTTTTCCCTCTACATTCTCAACATAGTCTCTATCAGAAGTGTTTGGCTTGTGTTGGGTCCGACTTGGCCCGGGCGGTCAAAATCAACTTTAGACACACAGATGTAACTTCAAATGTGATTAAATCTATAGATTAGTGTTATATCTACCTATACACCAATTTATAATGTCCAGGTGTATCGCATTTAAAGAAATCTGCGCCCTTAAAGTGAAGCATTTTTACTGTATTTTCTTTAAAAATCCAAGTCAGAAATGTTCGGTCCGACCTGGCCCGGGCTGTTAAAATCAACTTAAACCTCACAGATGTATCATCAAATGGATTCACATCTATAGATTAGTATTATATCTACCTATACACCACTTTATAATGTCACAGATTGCAGTATTTATAGACAACAAGGGGCTCGAAAGTGAAGCCCTTTTCCTTCTACATTCTCAACATAGTCTCTATCAGAAGTGTTTGGCTTGTGTTGGGTCCGACTTGGCCCGGGCGGTCAAAATCAACTTTAAACACACAGATGTATCTTCAAATGTGATTAAATCTATAGATTAGTGTTATATCTACCTATACACCAATTTATAATGTCCAGGTGTATCGCATTTAAAGAAATCTGCGCCCTTCAAGTGAAGCATTTTTACTGTATTTTCTTTAAAAAATCCAAGTCACAAATGTTCGGTCCGACTTGGCCCGGGCTGTTAAAATCAACTTAAACCTCACAGATGTATCATAAAATGGATTCACATCTATAGATTAGTATTATGTCTACCTATACACCAATTTATAATGTCACAGATCGCAGTATTTATAGACAACAAGGGGCTCAAAGTGAAGCCCTTTTCCCTCTACATTCTCAACATAGTCTCTATCAGAAGTGTTTGGCTTGTGTTGGGTCCGACTTGGCCCGGGCGGTCAAATTCAACTTTAAACGCACAGATGTATCTTCAAATGTGATTAAATCTATAGATTAGTGTTATATCTACCTATACACCAATTTATAATGTCCAGGTGTATCGCATTTAAAGACATCTGCGCCCTTAAAGTGAAGCATTTTTACTGTATTTTCTTTAAAAAATCCAAGTCAGAAATGTTCGGTCCGACCTGGCCCGGGCTGTTAAAATCAACTTAAACCTCACAGATGTATCATCAAATGGATTCACATCTATAGATTAGTGTTATATCTACCTATACACCAATTTATAATGTCACAGATCGCAGTATTTATAGACAACAAGGGGCCGAAAGGGAAGCCCTTTTCCCTCTACATTCTCAACATAGTCTCTATCAGAAGTGTTTGGCTTGTGTTGGGTCCGACTTGGCCCGGGCGGTCAAAATCAACTTTAAACACACAGATGTATCTTCAAATGTGATTAAATCTATAGATTAGTGTTATATCTACCTATACACCAATTTATAATGTCCAGGTGTATCGCATTTAAAGAAATCTGCGCCCTTAAAGTGAAGCATTTTTACTGTATTTTCTTTAAAAAATCCAAGTCAGAAATGTTCGGTCCGACCTGGCCCGGGCTGTTAAAATCAACTTAAACCTCACAGATGTATCTTCAAATGTGATTAAATCTATAGACCAGTGTTATATCTACCTATACACCAATTTATAATGTCAAAGATCGCAGTATTTATAGAAAACATGGGGCTTAAAATGAAGCCCTTTTCCCCTCTACATTCTCAACATAGTCTCTATCAGAAGTGTTTGGCTTGTGTTGGGTCCGACAAAACCCACTCCGAAGGCGTGGTAGGGGGAGTCGTCGTCTTGTCTGGGTGACTGGTAGTCTTGAGTGGGCGAGTCGTCTGGTTAAAAAGGAACACATTATTGTAGACGGCATTGTCATCATGGACGATTCTATTGATGTTCAGATTAATTCAGTTTGATATGAAAAGGAAATATACCTAAGGCAAAATTAATGTTAAATGCGTTTGAAGGTGGGACGTACTTGAATTTGCGAATGGGCGTTCTTTACGGGTGTATGCTGAACCTGTGAAAAAAACAGAAAACGGATGCTAACTTAAAAAAAATAACATTCTAACACTGTATTGGTGCCACATTGTTGTTACTATTTGTACAAAAACGGATTAGGTACCAGTATAAGTATTATACTAAATGTATTAGCCGAAAGTTGATAAACAAGTAGATGATAGATGAGAAAGTTCTGCAGTGAACAGGAGAATGGGTGTTAACCTCTTTGGTCATGTGAGCATAGCGTCCGAGCTCGGGTGTGAAGGTGCATGGTTTGAATCCCATCACAGCACTCGGAAATTGTATGGCCACTTCATGACCTTGTGGTGCATTAATACAGTAAATATTCAAACTATTGGAAAGAAAAATACTATGAAACAATAATTCTTTTAAAAAAACATACCACAGCAAGAGCACGGATCAGGTCTGATGCCAGCTGTTTTTGACCTGCTGGACGTAAATGTAGGCCATCATGCGCGAGAAAGTCCTTCCGCACTTTGCCAGAAGACATAAATTCAGGGTGTCCAACATATGTGAGTCGCTCCGCTTCACAAAGGTGTTTTAGACCTTTGTTTAGGGCGTAGGCTTTTATGTTCAGGGCATCGTGGTTTGAAATGCCCTGGCCCTGGCGCCACCGGTTCCGATCCCTCGGGGTGACTCCGGAAAGGAATACCACAGCTCTGTAAAAACATAAAAATCGTTATTTACCCCCAAAACAGTACTTTTGCCGACGCGGCGGTCACGTCAAACAAATCGGTCGAACCTATTATACTATCGGAGACCATATACCGGTATATGGTCTCTGATACTATGTTGTCATCTGACGTTATGGACTATGTGTGATGATGCATTGCGAAGTCAGCTCAAAAGCCGGTAATTTACATGCAAATATTGGATTGTGTATGACAGGAGATGATATGACATACCGTGGGTTCCGTTCCCTTAAACAGCCGAGCAGCTTGATGAAGTCGTCCAAGACCTGTCTCGGCGCTCTGGGCATGTAAGCCAAGTCATTTATCCCAACATGGACAATGACGAACTGAAAACAATGTGAAAATAACGGTCACTTCAGATGTATCTTTCACTGAAACCCAAACGTAAGATAGGTTTTTGGAAATATGTTTTATCACACAGTGTCTGTATCAGCTATCCAAACCGGTTTCAATTATCATTGGGGTGAGTTTATGATGACTGATTATTCATTAGTACGTGCGTGGAACAGTCCTCATAATGTGCAAAATGTTACTTCCTTTAACTGCTAAAAGATATGATATGAAGACGTCTCCTACCTTAAACCTCTCAATGTCCCAGAGGAGATCGGGGACGTCAGCCACCTTGGCTCCTGACAGCGATCTCGTAACTATGTCTTCTCTCTCAGTGTACCGTCCGAGATATTTGACCAAAGAGTCGCCAACGAGAATTGCAGTCATTTCTGATCGTGATATTTGGAATAGGATGTCAGTGCGCTACCTCGTCACTTATATAGGGTAACACTTGGAGAAGGTACGGTGAGACACTTTGGATTTCAGGATAAAGCTCTCCCTCAACCCTGCTTAATGCTTCTATTATCTGTGTGTTTAGGAAAACAGGATTATCTGAGACAGTTGTAATCTGCCATACCGCGAGAATACATGCTGCATCTCCGAGCAGCCATTTCCGACAAAGCTCGTTCTGTGAAAACACACTTCTCCTGAACCTGACTTGGACTACTCAGTATTATGGCCGTGATGGTTAAAAGACGCCGTAAATTAAAGTTCTATATATATCTAGGAACTTTGTTTTTACAGTCGTGATGTTTAAGATGATTAACCACCCGGGTCAAGTCGATCCGACGGGTAGAATGATACGCAGGATGCAAAGGAGGTAAACCCAAGTACAGTACAGAAACTGAAGTAATTTGGGCTCTCTTAGTTTTCTGTATGCTTATACGTCATACTGTATTTAATTATGTTTCTTATTCTAAGAGGGCGGTCGGGTCGCCTAGTGGTTAAAGCGTTCGCTCGTCACGCCGAAGACCCGGGTTCGATTCCCAACATGGGTACAATGTGTGAAGCCCATTTCTGGTGTCCCCCACCGTGATATTGCTGGAATATTGCTGAAAGCGGCGTAAAACCGTACTCACCCACTCACTAACTTATTCTAATACTGCTAATGTTTGTCAGTGGCCAGTGATAGTATGTTTTATGGAATAGTATCTTTCATACCAATATGGTGATATGTTATAACTTTATTTCGTACTTGCGAGGGACACGACACAATCATAGCTTACAAAAGTATTCTGGAAGCATTTTAGGACAAACATGTTAACGTAAGTTCAAAAGAAAATAAATGGGTTTTGTTAATTAGCCTCTTACTTACTTACTTACTTTGGAGATTTAACGTGCGCTTTCCGACTGATGCGTATTTCGCACACGGGCCCGGCCAGGCCATTTAATGTGTTTCCGAAAGGGGCGAAGGTGGTCTGTGCAACCCAAGAGGGGGGTTTTAGGGGTTGCTTATATAGAATTTGGGAATTTTGAGATTTGGAATAGATGCCGATGGGATTGGGGAGGAGAACTAAGGGAGCTGGGTATGGTGGATGTTTGTTTGTTTATGTGATTTTGATTTGGTAGGTTATTGTGTTTTTAGATGCGTTTTATTAGTTCCGTTTTTATTAAGAATACGCCTAAGGCCTTGAAGTTTTCTAGTTTATTTTGTGGGTTTAGTATTGCTTCTAGAGTTAGAGCCTTGTTTAGATTGAAGGTGGTTTGTAATGCGGTTCGATGTGTTAGGTAGTGTATGCAGTGGATGAGTGCGTGTTCTGGGGTTTCTGGTTGTTTGCAGTGTGGGCAGTTACCTGTAGTGTGTTTTTTAAATTTTTTTAGGTGGTTATTTAGGTTGGTGTGTCCTGTTTGGAGTTTAGTGATTACTCTGTCGATTTTTTTCGATGGATGGAGAATTTGGGTTTGGTTAGTGGTTTGCTGAGCACTTTTTTGATTTGGCTATTTGAGTTTAGATATAGGTTATGCCATTTTTTGGTGATTTTTTGCTTGTTTACACTTTTAATTTCTGATTTTGAGATGGGTAAGTTTAAGCTTATTTCTGGGATTTTGAGGGATAGTTTAGCTGCTTTATCGGCGTTTTCGTTACCGTATATTCCTACGTGGGCGGGTATCCACAAGAAGGTTATTCGTTTGCCTGCCTTAGTTAGGTCGTTGGAGCTTTTAAGTATTTGATTTATTAATTTAGGTCGGTTTTTGGTATTTTTGTTTTGGAGTGCTTGCAGTCCACTTAGGGAGTCGGTAAGTATTAGGATATTTTTGTGTTTTTTGGATTCTTGATTATGGAGGGCTGAGGCCATGCCCATTAGTTCTGCCGTGAATATTGATTGGTTGTTTGGGAGTCGGAAGGATCGTGTGGTTTTAGTTGGTTGTGTGGTATGGACTCCGAAACCTGTGTGTTTGGAGGTCGGATCTGAGGATCCGTCCGTGTAAATGTGACACCAATTTGGCCAATTTTCGTGTATGTATGCTAGTGTGGTAGTTTTAGCTATGTTTGGGTCGGTTTGTTTATTTATTTGGCTAGCTAGTGTTGTGTCTATTTTGGGTATTTTAAGTTTAGGGGTGAAGATATTTGATTGTTTGCAGTTTTGTTTAAGATTTTTAATTTGGTGTTCATTTAGGTAGTTTGTTATTCTTTGGGATATTGGGGTAAGTAAGGGGTGTTTGCGAGCTAGAGCTTGGTTTTTGGGGCTGATGTTTTGGTTTATTAAGTTTTGGATGAGAGGGTTTGATTGGGACGCGGCCCAGAAATTTAAGCTTAGCTGTTCCCTGCGTAGACTTAGTGGCATTTCTCCTGTTAAGGCCTGAAGTGAGGTGTAGGAGGTGCCAAGTTGGGTGCGTGTAATTAGTTTGAGAGCCTGATATTGTATTGAGTCAAGTTTTTTAGATAGAGAGTTGTTTAGGGTGTTGTATATGGCGCAGCCGTAGTCTAGTTTTGATCTAATTAGTGATATGTAGAGAGAGAGGAGGGTATCTTTGGATGCTCCCCAGTTAGAGCCAGTTAGGCATCTTAGGGTGTTTAGGTCTTTACTGCATTTAGTTGTTAGGTTTTGGATGTGAGCATCCCAGGTGAGATGTTCATCGAAAATAAGTCAGTCCTAAGAATTTGGTTTGTTTTTGAAATTTGATTGTTTGATTGTTTAGCTGGAGGATTGGGGAGGCGGGTTTCATGTTTTTATGTTTGAATACTATTCCTGTTGATTTTTCTGAGTTAAGGGAGAAGCCCCATTTGTCAGCCCATTGTTGTATTTTATTAAGAGATTTTTGGAGTAGATTTTGGGCCATGTTCATGCTTTTAGTGCGGATCCAGATGGCTCCATCATCCGCGAATTTTGATGTGTTTACTTTAGGGGATAGGCCCTCGAATAGATCGTTTATCATTATATTGAAGAGGGTGGGGCTGAGGATACTGCCCTGTGGAGTACCATTTTCTAGGGGACATTGGTCCGATAGAGTTTGGTTTATACCCACGGTTATTTTACGATTGTTTAGGAAGTCCTGGATGTAGTTTATTATCTGACCTTTGAGTCCTATTTTTTAAAGTTTTTGTATTAGCCCATCGTGCCGTACCATGTCGAAAGCTTTAGAGAAGTCTAAGAAGATGCCTGTGGTATATTGTTTATTTAGTTGTCCTGTCTTAATATCTTGTTCTAGTCGGGCGAGGTTATCTAGGGTTGAGCGGCCAGGAGTGAAACCGCTTTGATCTGGGTTTATGATGTTATTTTGGGTTAAGTAATGTTGTAATCTATTTTTAGCCATTGATTCCATTACTTTACATAAGTTTGAAGTTAGGGATATTGGCCTATATGAGTTAGCTTGATTAGCTGGTTTATTAGGTTTAGGGATTGGTATGACTAGGGCCTGTTTCCAGGGAGTAGGAACCTGTCCGTTTAGGTAGATGAGATTGTATAGTTTGAGTAGTGCCTGGAGTAGTTTTAGGGGGAGTTTTTTAATTATTTGGTAAGAAGTTAGGTCTAATCCTGGGGCTGTGCCCTTTTTCCTGTTTTGGATTACGTAGAGGAGCTCCTCCATTGTGTAAGGTTGATTTATTTCTAGATTGTTATTGTTTGGTTCTTTTGTGGGTTTGTTTTCTGTTTTAAGTTTATCTTGGAATTTTTTACTGAAGTTGGTGTTACTGCTAACGGCCGAAAAGTGGTTGGCGAGATTATTTGCTTTTTGGGCGGGGTTGGTTGAGTTGTCAATGTTAGGGGTTTTTTTTATGTCGTTTTAAGCCTCTGATTGCGTGGATTTTGCGCCAGACCATTCTGGCATATGTACGATTATTTATACCTTCGCAGAATTTTTTCCAGTCTCTACTTTTGGCTATTTGGACTAGTTTTTGAACCTGGTGGTTTAGTTCGTGGGCTATGTTTAAATATTTGTAGTCGCGTTTTGCTTTATTGAAGGCTGATTTACGTTTTCGTCTAGTCTGTTCTATTTCCTCATTCCACCATGGTACCGTCGGTTTGCCTGTCTTAGATGTTTTGAAGGGGATGGAGGTTTTGGCTGCGTTTATTATATAGTCTGTTAGGTTTTTACAATAGGTTTCTGGATCATTATTTTCTATTTCGTTTAAGTTAGCTTCGTTGCAGATATCTTGGAATTGGTCCCAGTTAGCTTTATTGTAATGGAATTTTGGTTCTTGGTTTTCTGTTTGGATTGGTACGTTTGTATTTCCTATGGTTATGTTTATGGGGAAGTGGTCACTACCTAGCGGGACGTCGTGCACTTCCCATTGAGTACTTTGGGCTAATTAGCCTCACCAAATGCATAAGTTATCAATGAAACGGTCTGCTATTAACTACAGCTCAAGACAGCTAATTAAGGGCAAATGGTTGATTGATTACGCAACACCTACTTGATTGCAATTAAGCAAGGGGCAATTAAGCAAGCTGGGTACAGGTGTAATTTGGATTAATTCCACACTTAACGTGCATATACGGACGCAATGAGAAGGATCGATGAGACACAAGACTTGAAGTAAGGCAAAAACGTTTCTCCAGTATAATCGAATAATCAAATTAGCGCATTGTGAGACGATGCTTGAACTGTGAAACCAAACATTAATGTTATCAACTCAAGTTCGGGTGCAGGAAGTGTTTTTCTTGCAAAAAAAGATGTACATGTGCATATAGGTACGAAAACCTGGTCCCTAAGTGGTACCTCAGATGTAAGTACAAATACTAACAGTTCACGATAATCTTCAACATTGAGATGAGTTCACATGTGTTAACCAGTAGTACGTTACGAATAATTCTCAATTGGAAATATTATGCGTATGTTTTATGAGTACATGTGAATCAGTTTTGTAAATGCATTCTCAACCCGCATCGGTATATTCCTAATTACAGTTTAGTTATCGTCTGAGATTATAATTTGCGTTCGGGAAAGAAACCGTAAGTGTCTACACCTGATGTAAGAACAAATATTGCGTAAAATGGCAAAACATAATTGAGAAAGTTAAAACACATGTTTAAAATTCACATTACAATAAATATGAATATGAATGTTGCGTTTTCTGAATCAGCATAAAAAAGGAACATGTGTGAGTCTTGAGATAGTGTTTTTTTACATTTCTTATAAATTCAAAACACGTTTGACTAAAGATCATAGCTTATGACACCATATAAACATGCCAAGACTTCAACACGCGTTATCTGTTGTTGGAATAAACAGCTTAAGTTACAATTTATTCAGCAACATAGCTGCAAAACTTACTCTACAATGAGATCAAACAAGGTATACAAGCTTAGATTAATCTCGAGAATGGGGAAGTCAAAAGCATTTACTCACTTATTTTGGAATTATAAATATTGTATAACTAATAACGGGAAGTGGAATGGCATGTAGTACATGCATCGTACTAATAGTGACACAATTAGATGCCAACAACTACGCCCCGTCTACGCAGTCTGCCAGTTTCTAATTATTTGGAATAATCCTTTCCGGCGTTTCTTTCAATTATAAAGGACTCATTTCATACGTAGGGGTCTGTGATCTAAAAAACACAATTGGTATGTTTACGTAGACACAAACACGTGGTGTGGTTTGGTATGGTCAGTAACTGACAACCTGCTGATGACAAATGTCAACACACCGGGTCAGTAAACTGACCACTACAATGATCGAAGGATGTGTTACGTCCATGCATCTACATTTGTTTCTCTTTGTTGAAGTTGACGGATGACAAGGTAGACACAATTTTATGGGTAACGTCTACCTTGTCAATCGTTTTCTACCAAGGATTTACGATTGGGATGCCTCTAAACGTGTAAGTTATTTTCCTTTACAAAAGAATAGGATTTCAATCAAAAGGTTACAGTTAAAATGACATATACAACGTTTAAATCTATAAGGTTATGGTGAATTTTAGCTAAGGCGAAACAATGCTTCACTTTGTATACATGTTAATACATTTGATACATCTGTGAGGTTTAAGTTGATTTTAACAGCCCGGGCCAGGTCGGACCGAACATTTCTGACTTGTTTTTTTTTAAAGAAAATACAGTAAAAATGCTTCACTTTAAGGGCGCAGATTTCTTTAAATGCGATACACCTGGACATTATAAATTGGTGTACAGATAGATATAACACTAATCTATAGATTTAATCACATTTGAAGTTACATCTGCGTGTTTAAAGTTGATTTTGACCGCCCGGGCCAAGTCGGACCCAACACAAGCCAAACACTTCTGATAGAGACTATGTTGAGAATGTAGAGGGGAAAAGGGCTTCATTTTAAGCCCCATGTTTTCTATAAATACTGCGATCTGTGACATTATAAATTGGTGTATAGGTAGATATAACACTGGTCTATAGATTTTATCACATTTGAAGATACATCTGTGAGGTTTAAGTTGATTTTAACAGACCGGGCCAGGTCGGACCGAACATTTCTGACTTGGATTTTTTAAAGAAAATACAGTAAAAATGCTTCACTTTAAGGGCGCAGATTTCTTTAAATGCGATACACCTGGACATTATAAATTGGTGTATAGGTAGATATAACACTAATCTATAGATTTAATCACATTTGAAGTTACATCTGTGTGTTTAAAGTTGATTTTGACCGCCCGGGCCAGGTCGGACCCAACACAAGCCAAACACTTCTGATAGAGACTATGTTGAGAATGTAGAGGGAAAAGGGCTTCACTTTCGAGCCCCTTGTTGTCTAAAAATACTGCAATCTGTGACATTATAAAGTGGTGTATAGGTAGATATAATACTAATCTATAGATGTGAATCCATTTGATGATACATCTGTGAGGTTTAAGTTGATTTTAACAGCCCGGGCCAGGTCGGACCGAACATTTCTGACTTGGATTTTTTAAAGAAAATACAGTAAAAATGCTTCACTTTAAGGGCCCAGATTTCTTTAAATGCGATACACCTGGACATTATAAATTGGTGTACAGATAGATATAACACTAATCTATAGATTTAATCACATTTGAAGTTACATCTGCGTGTTTAAAGTTGATTTTGACCGCCCGGGCCAAGTCGGACCCAACACAAGCCAAACACTTCTGATAGAGACTATGTTGAGAATGTAGAGGGAAAAGGGCTTCACTTTCGAGCCCCTTGTTGTCTATAAATACTGCAATCTGTGACATTATAAAGTGGTGTATGGGTAGATATAATACTAATCTATAGATGTGAATCCATTTGATGATACATCTGTGAGGTTTAAGTTGATTTTAACAGCCCGGGCCTTGGTCGGACCGAACATTTCTGACTTGGATTTTTTAAAGAAAATACAGTAAAAATGCTTCACTTTAAGGGCGCAGATTTCTTTAAATGCGATACACCTGGACATTATAAATTGGTGTATAGGTAGATATAACACTAATCTATAGATTTAATCACATCTGTAGATACATCTGCGTGTTTACAGTTGATTTTGACCGCCCGGGCCAAGTCGGACCCAACACAAGCCAAACACTTCTGATAGAGACTATGTTGAGAATGTAGAGGGAAAAGGGCTTCACTTTGAGCCCCTTGTTGTCTATAAATACTGCGATCTGTAACATTATAAAGTGGTGTATATGTAGATATAACACTAATCTATAGAGGTAATCACATTTGAAGATAAATCTGTCTGTTTAAAGTTGATTTTGACAGCCCGGGCCAAGTCGGAGCGAACTGTGTGACTGTCGAGAGTAGAGGGAGAAGAGGTCTACTTTAACCAACGTGTCTGCTTTAAATACGATGAACAGTGACGTTATAAAGTGGTATTTACTTAGATATAGTACGTTCCTATAATATAAACGCTATGCCGACAGATGGAAATTCGTATGACGATAGCTAGAAGTATTTGATACGTGTCAAATCCTATTTCGTTTAACGATTGCTCTTTTACATGTTACCTAGATCAGCGACGCTAACACACAGCTCCACTTTCTAGTTTTTAAGTGATTTACTCCGAATTACTTAATTATGCTGCACGTTTTGGATTGGTGATTGTTCAGTAGTGTCATGTGTGTATGTTGCATCAATAATATGTAGATATGATCGCCGGTTATTAAGTAATTAGCCAATAACACTTTGGCCCGTCTTGGCCCGGCCCGGCCCGACCCGACTTTTAGGCAATCCCGATTTTTACGTATTTGCATACTTTCTCAATGAAAGTTGACCATTCTTTGACATTTGTTTATGAAAATGTGTAGACTTGTCAAACATGAAACGGATGAAAAGCATATGCAATATCTTGAATGAACTGTGAAAGATGTGACGAATCGTCACATGGCGCTGGCCTGTGGCAGAGGTACTATGCTAGCTGGCTGCCGGCCGCATGGAACTCTGGGTAGGAGAGGCTGGCAATAGACTAGACTGGTTCCCGGATCCTCCGCTTGGTGTCGCTGCACTTGTTCCGCTTTTCAATTGTCGCAGGAACGAACGGGAACCAGTCTAGGCCGGCAAACATTTGGCAGCGCAAAAAGAAGGATCCAGTTTGAAATCCGTTTCCGGCAAACCTGCGCTGCGCGTTGCAACACACAGTGAAACACGTTGTCGACACTGCAAGAACATTATTTCCAGTGGAATCAGGAGAAAGAACAGGTTTGCTCTCTCCACGTGTCTCCAGTTTTATTTAAACGATTACATAGAGTGCAGATAATTACTGTAATGTTGTATATAATTCAAATGGATTAGGCACACGCCTATTTTCGCGAATCCCCGAATTAGCACGTTCTTTCGTTCATCAAAACCCCTCATCATGCCTGGACGTCAGTCAGCCTGCATACCGCTCAGTGACGCACTGTGCTGATTACTGTTCGTGTTTTTCTTACTTGTTTTGAATAGTGAAACATCCCCATGACCACGTGCACACCGGGACTGTTGGGTCCTACCAGACAATCAAATTAACCAAGTCAGCGAACCCGACCACCCGATCCTGTTAGTCGCCTCTTACGACAAGCATGGGTTGCTAAAGACTAATTCTAACCCAGATCTTCATGGGTCGTATGTTAAGTTGTTGTTTTTTTGGTATTTTTTCGCACTCAGCAATAGCTCAGCTTTATGACGGCGGTCTGTAAGTAATCATGTCAGGACCAGATAATCCAGTGATTGACATCATGAGCATCAATCTACGCAACTGAGATAAGATGACATGCATCAAGCAAGTCAGCGAGCCTGACCACCATATCTCGTTAGTCGCCTCTCACCACAAGCATAGTGGCTTCTTACGACAAGCGTGTATGGTTGCTGAAGACAAATTCTATATATAACATAATTACTAATTAATAAACGATGTTCATCATATCTACCTGACTTACTTCCTATTTTCATACAGTACATGAATAATTTTTTTAAAATACTACTTTCTTAGAATGAACGTCTGCGGTTTTAATCCTCTTTCGTTCTGGCTTTCGGGCTGTCTGTGGTGTCTTTGGAATGTTGATAATTAATAAACTGAGACCGTGACAAGTAGTCTCACTAGCCTTTGTGTATGACGTCATTTGTATAACGTCATGTGTATGACCTCACAACTTTCGATGTACCGCCATCTTACTTAGTAAGTAAAGTATGTCCACCAAACACTCACTGTTTATGGTACCTTATAGAACCCCCAGATTCATGTCTTTGTCTTAGACAGACATGAAGACTTAAACAGAGACGACCATCCAACGAAACAGTATTGCTTTGTGGACATCTGGGGCCACGCAGGAACTTTCGAAAATGTCCGGCTTTCTCCTGTTGGCTTTTTTATATCCAGCAGTCATTAGAAAATTTAAAGCCTACCATGCACGATGCACAGTGTTAGTTGGTAGACATGGTAGATGTCTTGGCTGGGCCAGCGCATGTCAGCATATTGGATTTTTACAATTGTGTGAAGTGTGTCTATTAAAGCTGGAATTTTCAATGATTTCCAATTGGAACTTAATTTGATGATGTTGTTCATGCTCTCACAGGCATTGTTAGACCAAGTAGCAGAACTGCTTTGGCCTTTTTTTTGAAAGCAGGAAAATGTCAGTTTTTATAGTTTTAATGACTTTAGATAGGTAAGAACAGAAATCTGGGACAGTTGTTGAAACAAGGTCTTCTAGTTCTATTTGATTCAGTTCGAACTGATATGAGCCATTGCTAATCACCAGTCTGGAGGGTCCAAAGATTTTCTGATGAATGAGTCGTATCTGCTGATCTGAAGCGCCAACTGATGTCAAAGGTGTCTTTTTATATTTTGTTTATTGTACCATTCACATAAAATGTGTGTGGAAGTGGGGAAACAATTTTGCAGGGCCTTACTCAAAGCCCCTTTCTTAGTCAGATCCAATTACCAGTTGTTTTCCTTGTGTTTCTTATTAACAGTCAGTTCAGGCAAATTGGAAACCCGGGCTTGGAGTTACATAATAAGACTCTCAATACCCTTAAAACAACAAAAACCCAAGTTGAGGCGATTGCAAATTGGGAATTTTATAAGCGTGCAGAGCATGCGCAATGAAATTGGAATTTTATGAGTAAACTGAAATAAGGTCTAAATGTGATTATCCCTGGCTTCCGGTGGAAGTCGCAAGCCTTTCAAAGTCACGTGAGAAAAAACGAGATCTCATCCTTGATTCTCTGAGCGAAGAAGAACAGACAAGTATATTAAGTGTGATAACACAGTTTACTCAACAAAATAAACAATACTGGTACAGTACTTGCTGCGCCAGAAAACTAAAATCGAACATCTTGGTCCAGGAATATCTGTGTCATTGGTCAATCAGATAATCAGATCATGCACTCATTTGCACTCGTTCTGAGTCACAAAGTCAACTTGTAAATAAGTCTTGAAACGACTGTGGTCCATCCATACACACAGGTACCATTATCCCACTTGATAGAACAACCAGAACAGCAACCAACAGGTGAAGTGAATCCTCATTCTTCCTCAACAGTCGGCAAACTCTTCTAACTGCAAATAAAAAAAAGTTATCAGTTTCTGGTTTCACTAAATTAACTCTTTCACATATAAAATGAAAACCATTAAATAATAGGATCCAGAAAAATCTTTCACTAAAGATATAGGTTGAATCCATTCAAGCACATTATGTGTAACCACCAGAGTGGAGAGGGAGGGATTTAGACCTTATTTCAGTTTACTCATAAAATTACAATTTCATTGCCGTGCTCCACACGCTCATAAAATTCCCAATTTTATTTTGTAAACTGAAATAAGGTTTAAATGTGATTGTTTAAAGTCCTGTTAAACCCTGAAAATTCTGTATCCAAACAGTTGTGCATTGTAATATCCTCCGATTCATTTATCCCTGCTTGTTTCATCAGCTGTTTCAACCAATTAGAAACAGTTGATGTGACAATTGGTCTATGTGGCCAGGAGCATCCCAAGAACAATTGATGTTCCTGCTCTGAAGATGCTCTCCAAGCACTTAGTTCTGTGTAGGTAAGTTCTAAGTACTGATGTGGAGTCAAGTTCAGGTATGTCACATGAATATACGGTCATTTTGCTTGCACAAGACCCCACCTTCCCTGTTTTTGTCAATCTAGTGATAAGAAATTCAATGTGGTCCCCAAAATCTGAAACATTGCAAGGATCTAATTTGTGCAACTCCGAAGCCCTACTTGCACTCGTCAGGGCTAACAACATAGCTGTCTTTTGTGTAAGGATCTTATCATGTAAGTCATTGTTTGGGCCTAAGCTTTTAATGTACTCTGTCACTTTGTCAACGTCCAAAGTCTCGGTGTACTTAGGCTGGGGAGGCCTCTCATGGAATATTGCTCTCATTGTGTTCTTAATTTCTTTCGTTTGACCTAACGGTTCTCCCTGCACATGGGGATGAATGGCTGAAATAGCAGATCTTATTGCATTGATTGTGCTGTAAGAATAGCCTAATTCATACAGATGAATTCATACAGAGAGTGACATTTGCCACAGAGGCTTGAAATTGATCAATTTCCCACCCCATGCACCAACTACGCCATTCTGCCAGGAGCTGTTGTAAGAGTTCCTGGTGCCTGGGCGCCTGGATTTGGAGAGTAACGCGGAAGCCGATTCAGAAATGCCTTCTGGCTGGTTACAACTCACGAGGTTTTTCAGGCTGCAAGGTTAAGAGACCCTTGTTCCATCAGGGGGTGGGTCTCCCCTGCTGGAGACGACAACATCTGTGGGTCTGGAGGGAGGAGGATTGGCTCCTCTGTTAACAAGCCCATCAGAGTAGGGAACCACGGTTGGCTTTGCCATGATGGAGCTATTAGTATGAGTTCTGTTTTCTTCTTTTTTACCTTCATTAGGCATCCGCCTATTAATCTTAATGGGGGAAATGCATATGATTTCATGTCCTCCCATTCCATTAGGAAGGCGTCCGTCTGCCATGCTGTTGGATCTGGCCGCCAGCTGACATACCTGTCCACCTGTCTGTTCAGTCTGTTGGCAAACAGATCCACATTTATTGGTCCCAAAAATTTTGTTTATTTGATTGAAATAAACTGTTTTCAGTTTCAAGTTGCTGGAGTCTGAGTGGTGTCTCGACTCCCAATCTGCCTCCACATTGTCCTTCCCTGGAAGGTATTCAGCTGATATTATGTTCTTTTTCTTGAGGCAGTAACCCCAGATCATTTGGGCTACCGTCAACAAGTCCATGGACTTCGTTCCCCCTTTCTTGTTTAGGTATGCCACTGCTGATCGGTTGTCCATCCTTAGATGGATGTGCACCTCTGTTCTGATTTTGGCAAATGTCTGAATGGATAACCATGCAGCCATAAGCTCCAGAACATTGATGTGGTGTTTTCTCTCGGAGAGACTCCACACTCCACCTATCCGAACTTTCCCATACACTGCTCCCCACCCCAATTTCGAGGCATCTGTAGTTATGACTACATCTGGCCCTGTCGAGAGGAAAGATTTGCCGTTCCAATCGGCGAGATGATGTTTCCACCATCTCAGTTCCTGTTTGCATTGCAGTGTCATTTTCGTCTCCTGGTTTTGTTTGGGTAAGAGAGCCTTTGTTCTCAACATTTATAAATGTTGATAGTGTAGTGGTGCTGGTAGCACCGCCATCATTGAGGCAGTAAGTTTGCCTATCCATGTCGCTAGATGTCGTACTGTTGTGTGGGAACAAGTCAACATCATTTCGCACTGTCGAAGAATGCCAGTCACTTTGTCTTGTGGAAGTGACAACGTCATGTCTATCGAGTTGACAGTGAAACCAAAGTACTCTATTATACGACATGGTTCTAGGACCGACTTCTTCCAATTCACTACAAAATCTAGTTGTCCCCCGTCGCGCGAAAGCGCGAAGCGGGGGATATAGTATTCACGACCGTACGTCCGTCCGTACGTCCCACCTGTTTGTTGCCGCGATATCTCAAGAACTAAACACTGGATTGTCTTCATATTTGGAACTATGGTGTATATACAGACCGGCAGACACCAGTCGGTTTTGGTGACCTTGACCCCATTTTCGAGGTCACAGCAGCCATATCTGCTTTTGGAGTTGGAAAACGGTGTTGCCGCGATATCTCAAGAACTAAACACTGGATTGTCTTCATATTTGGAACTATGGTGTATATACAGACTCCGCAGACACCAGTCAGTTCTGGTGACCTTGACCCCATTTTCAAGGTCACAGCAGGTAAATCTGCTTTTGGAGTTGGAAAACGGTGTTGCCGCAATATCAAGAACTAATCGCAGGATTGTCTTCATGTTTGGAACTATGGTGTATATACAGACACCGCAGACACCAGTCGGTTTTGGTGACCTTGACCCCATTTTCAAGGTCACAGCAGGCAAATCTGCTTTTGGAGTTGGAAAACGGTGTTGCCGCGATATCTCAAGAACTAATCGCTGGATTGTCTTCATATTTGGTATTTTGGTGTATATACAGGCGGGGGACATTTCGTCACTTCTGTGACAAATACTTGTTTCTCTAGAATTTCTTCTAGGGTCGAATCCCTCTCAACCATCAATGCATCTTTCTGGGGATTGGCCAAAATCAAGTCCAGATAAATTTGGGCTCGGATTCCTATTTTGCGTAAGAAAGATATCACTGGTTTCAACAGCTTCGTGAATACCCTCGGTGCTGAAGCCAGTCCGAAGGGTAGGCACTGAAACTTGTAAAGTTTGTTTTGCCAGCAGAATCTTAAGTATTTCTTGTGCTCGTTGCCCACTGGGACACAAAAATAGGCATCTTTGAGATCTATTTTTATCATATAGTCCTGTTTGTTTACTAGTTCTGTCAATGTTACTATTCCTTCCACTTGGAAGTGTAAGGTAAGCAACAAAAAAGTTTAGTTTCTTTGCATTGAATACCGATCTGTGACCCCCTATTTTTTTTGGGGGGGGTCACAAACACTGTGCTCACAAACTGGTTTCTTACTGGAGAAACCTACTGCACCGCCCCTTTCTCTAACATTTTTGTTACTTCTGCCGACATTATGTCCATATCTGATTTTTGCATTTTTAGTTCGTTTGGTTCTGATTTTTGCTGAGGAATTGATTGAATTCTATTCTGTACCCCGAACAATATTTAGAATGTAAGCATCCTTCTAGGGTCGAATCCCTCTCAACCATCAATGCATCTTTCTGGGGATTGGCCAAAATCAAGTCCAGATAAATTTGGGCTCGGATTCCTATTTTGCGTAAGAAAGATATCACTGGTTTCAACAGCTTCGTGAATACCCTCGGTGCTGAAGCCAGTCCGAAGGGTAGGCACTGAAACTTGTAAAGTTTGTTTTGCCAGCAGAATCTTAAGTATTTCTTGTGCTCGTTGCCCACTGGGACACAAAAATAGGCATCTTTGAGATCTATTTTTATCATATAGTCCTGTTTGTTTACTAGTTCTGTCAATGTTACTATTCCTTCCACTTGGAAGTGTAAGGTAAGCAACAAAAAAGTTTAGTTTCTTTGCATTGAATACCGATCTGTGACCCCCTATTTTTTTTGGGGGGGGTCACAAACACTGTGCTCACAAACTGGTTTCTTACTGGAGAAACCTACTGCACCGCCCCTTTCTCTAACATTTTTGTTACTTCTGCCGACATTATGTCCATATCTGATTTTTGCATTTTTAGTTCGTTTGGTTCTGATTTTTGCTGAGGAATTGATTGAATTCTATTCTGTACCCCGAACAATATTTAGAATGTAAGCATCCTTTGTCAGCTTCTCCCAGTTTTATATGAAGTGTTTTGATCTCCACCCTAGTTTGTGATCTGATTGACTGACTTGAAAGTCTAGGTCCTGTAACTGACTTGTGCAGTGTGTTTCCCTTTTGATATTATGAAACATAAATACCTTCCTCTGGAAAACCCTCACTCTGCCACTACCGTCTCGCTTTCTAGTCAAATTGGTGAATTGCATCTTCTGGTACGAGTTGGTACTGTAGCGACCCCCACCTCTGTAACCCTGGTTACTTGATGAGGGCCCTCTGTGAAAGGGCTGACTGTTTCCTCTGTTAAACCCTCTAGCAGAGCTCTTGAAGCCATAGTGGCTCTTGTTTTTGTAGTCCGAAAACTGTCTCTCAATATCTAATCTCTTCTTTCTGTCCTTGGACAGCTTTAACAATTTCTTTTAAAAACCTTTGCCAAATAAGGCCTTCCTGTCACTGAACTTTTTCTCATCCTTTGAGAGAAATTTCTGAGCTTTCTTCTGACTTTTCAATTTCATCAGCTTCGTTAGAATGTTCAGTCTACTATAAGGTACTGGCAACGTTGGCTAGTCCTTTACAACAACAAACAAACAGTCTTTTCAACTAATTTTAGAAAGTCGTTCACTTCAATCTCCTCACCACCTTTATCTCTGATTTTATCCACAGTCTGCCGCACCTGACCAAGTGGTCCCATCACATTGAGTAGTCTTAATTGGATTTTACTTAACCATGCTTCAACAGATTTAGCTGCAGTAAATCTTTTCTCTTCTAGCATATCTGACCATTCTTCGTCAAGCTCCAGTGGCACAAATCCTTTTGGGTTTGGACAGCTCTGGACATCTTTAATGTAGTGGTTGAAATGTTCATGTGCATAATCTAGCAGTTCGTTAGAAAGTTCCTTTTCAGCCCTATAATCTGTGGGCTTAAACCGCTTATAAAGGTGATTGTCAGTACTATTAGTACAATTATTGGTTTCACAATCGTCCGAAACTGACGATTCTGACGAACTTCTGTCACTTCTTCTGCTGGATGACGTGCTATCAGAATTAGAACTATGATGGTGAGACTTGGCTTGGTCCCGTTTTGGGACCGTGAAGCCTTTCCAGTCCTTCCTATTTCGTTTCCTGCTTCGATTCTCCAAATCAACATCACCAACTGCCTCATGGTTCTGGTTATTGTTTGCCTCATGGCTGGTTCCGGTGGCCGTGTTTGCCTCATGGCTGACATGCACATGGTGTCCATGCGGCTAGCAGGAATTCTATCTTCGCAAGACGAGCAAAAAATATCAACGTCTTGTGTCTTCGGAAGCCAGAGAATCAAGGACGAGATCTCGTTTTTTCTCAGGTGACTTTGAAAGGCTTGTGACTTCGCCGGAAGCCAGGGATAATCACATTTAAACCTTATTTCAGTTTACGAAATAACATTGTGTTCTCAAGGGTTAGTATATACTAGGTAGTGAGAAGTAGCAGTAATTGGATTAACCGACACCATTAATGTTATTATAACAAATTATTTGATCACTTGCCTATTGCTTGATTCTCTCCGACATTGTCATAAGATTTAAGAGTTTTACCTTCCATATAAAACTTTATTTCAAAAATTACATCTGAATTAAAAAATAAGTAGTATCAGAATGTAGATCTTGCATAGTGTTATATATTATTATTGTTCTGCACAAAGGTGTTTCATTGAAACAAACAATTTGGATCAACAACAAAAAAGTGCAAAGAGGTGGAGTTTTAACTTACCAAGGTATGCAGCTTCCTCAAGTTTGTCCAGAACAGCGCTGTAGTTGAATCTGCACAATGTACAACAATACTCAACATTGCTCGCAGACAGTTCTTGGAACTTCTGTGAGTCCCTCGCACTTAGGGTGGTGCCACAACTTGCACTGTTCACAAAACACACCCTTATGACAACTACGGGATGGATTTCTTGTCCACAACAAAACAATCCCATTGTCAAGGTTTTCAGATTCTATGAAATTCCCTGATTGATAATTATTACTATCTGATAGCAATTTTAGATTGTAATGCCATAGTCTGTTTAAAATAGAAGTATTTATGTTGTACGTGTTTCTCATGGAGTTGAGGTGTGAGAATCTACCTGCTAATACATCAATTCCTAGAGAAACGTGGAGATGACATGAGATGTGAGAATCGTCCCGCTTAATGTTAGTAGAACAGTTCCTAGAGAAACGTGGAGATGACATGAGATGTGAGAATCGACCCTCTTAATGTTAATACAACAGTTCCTAGAGAAACTTGGAGGTGACATGAGATGTGAGAATCGACCCGCTTAATGTTAATACAACAGTTCCTAGAGAAACCTTGATGTGAAAATCGACCCACTTAATGTTGTTATTACAACAATTCCTAGAAAAATGTGTAGATGACATGAGATGAGAGAATCGACCCTCTTAATGTTGTTATTAAGACGATACACAGATTCACCATTTAAAAAGAATAGTGGTGTCTGTAATAGTTTTTCTTGCTATATGTTATTTTTCGATATTTGGCTCAGTAGTAATTTATCTTCAGATTGCACCTCTTTTCTCAATGCTTTTGAGATTTGTGTTAGATAGTATTCAGGATTCAGAGGTGAGCAATGAGACTCAGAGTAAAAAATAAAATACACTTTATTGTTTAGTATCATTTTCCTTCAAAGACTAAGTTATGACTGTTGTAGCAGGTATGGGGTAGATGTTGGTGGGGCACACACAACACAATGCTACTTGTCAATTCACATGACAGCCATCTTTATTCAGAGTGCATATAATAATAATAATAATAATAATAATAATAATAATCGTAGTAAACCCTGAAAATATAATGCAAACATCATCAGTATTTTCTTTTCTTTTTTATACATTTTATTTCACCTTTTCCCTGTTACATGAGGATGATGGCCACATCATAAGCATAAGTATTTTTGTAAAAAAACAAACATAATATAGCTTTCGTGGAGATTACACACAATTACTTCACAAGCATTCATCTAATCAGCTAGCACATCAGCACTAGCATGAATAAATCCTTAAATATAAATAGTAGGTTGTTAACTATTTCTGAATAACTATAGAAAATTGCCATTTGTAATTACTATGTGAATACATTACATTCACATGAAAAACATCTATTTAGAAGGATAACTAGATACTAGTTATTAGTTTGAACCATATATATATAATCATGAAGATACAAATAAATCAATTCCATGATGGACCTGTGAAGATTCCGGGGTAGAATAGGTCTTCAGGAACCCATGCTTGCCGTAAAAGGTGACTATGCTTGTTGTAAAGGCGACTAACGGGATCGGGTGGTCAGGCTCGCTGACTTGGTTGATGCATGTCATCGATCCCAATTGCATGGATCGATGCTCATGATATCAATCACTGGATTGTCTGGTCCAGACTCGATTATTTACAGACCGCCGTCATACAGCTGGAATATTGCTGAGTGTGGCGTTAAACAACAAACCAAAGAACCAGCCAACCATAATTACGCATAAATACAAAGATAAATAGTAGATATGAGATATGAATAAATATGATTGATGAATCATGTCAATATTTCTCTCCATAAAGAAATATTACCAATATAAATAATAAACTATATAACGATCCATATACACAATTATGTTCCCCACTTACCACTGTGTGGCAATGAGCTTACCTCTTAGTTTCGCAGTCACGTTCAAATACCTACTTTACTTTGACTACCAGCTAAGTTTAATTGTACACTGATGTATTCAGCACACACCTCTTAAGAAATACAAAATGTACAAGACTATATATAGAATATGAGATACACAAACCAAATTAACTAACCTGGATAATGAAATCCTCAATACACAAACACCTAGTTCCATTAATGTACACAATGTTTAACATCCACAATCAGTAAGGGGCTGATAATAAAGAAAACAACTGCCTACATGATATGCCGGAGAGAAACCTTTAGAACTAAATACACAATAGAAAGTAAGCTGACCAGACAAAAGAAACTTGTGCAGAGTGCAAACGCATGGGTCAGAACCTGGCCTGACCCAGTAAGGTGGATATAGTTAAATGAAGGGTGCAGGGCTAGGCTTATTTTATTGAGGGCTTGTATAACTCTTAAGGTTCGTAGTGTACTACTGCGTGTAAAGTTTAAAGCTAAAATGAAACATCTAAAATACCCAACTTATATGTACAAATGCTTAAAACTTGACTTGGCCACATGACCACCACACCAGTTCGAATAAAATCAAATCAGTGGTGTGTGTAATGTTTTTCTAGATATATATGTTAATTGTTATGCATCAATACAAGAACACAATTTTATAGAATACACTTTATTATTTAGCATCATTCTCCCAGACGCTCCCACCAGATGCTTCCTGACGTTGCCCTTATGCTCACTGGCATTGCCTGAATGGACACTATAGTACTGGACATTTTACACTCGGTGAACTATCTGGTGCTATGCATGAACTTTTAAAAACGTCTGTCTTTCAATATTACTTATGAAATAGTATACAGAATATGACACTATAAATGTACATGATTTTTTTTCAATAAACAAATTTACATTGTATCCTTCAAAGACTAAGTTTCGACCACCACGTCAGTTCGAATAAAATCAAATCGTATTTGCTCTGCAGATTCACCATTTAAAAGGAATATGGTGTGTGTAATGTTTTTCTAGCTATATGTTAATTTTTATAATTAATACAAGAACACAATTATATGGAATGCACTTTATTATTTAGTATCATTCTCCAGACGCTCCCACCAGATGCTCCCTGATCTGCCGGATCCTAAGGAGCCAGACGTTTTACACACCTGTCTTTCAATAAAACTTATGAAATAGTGTACAGCGTTAGAAATTGGCACTAGTCCTGTAGTCCTTACCTAACTGCCCAATAGTAAAGGTATCCTTTAGGACTAGTAGAAATTGGCCCATTTTAAGGGTTTTGCTAAATGTTATCATTATCAGGACTAGTGGACAAAAACTGTTAGTTTCTAACCCTGGTGTACAGAATATGACACTTTATATGTACCTTATTTTTGTTCCATATGCAAATTTACATTGTATCCTTCAAAGGCTAAGTCAGTTTGAATAAAATACAATCGTATTTGCGTATATTTAAAAAGAATTATTGTGTTTGTAATTATTTTCTAGCTATATATTATTTTTTATAATTAATACAAAAACATAATTACATAGAATACACTTTATTACTTTGTATCATTATCCCGGACGCTCCCTGGCGTTGCCTGGATGTTTCCGGACACCCCCGTACGTTATTTAGTAGGTCCGGTACTGTGCCTTTGTCATAAATATTTGAAATGAACAACATTTGACCGAAAATACCTTTATTGTTCTAATCATATGACATTTATTCAAAAACAAAGATATGTGCATCAATTGATTGGACTTGCAAATAATCAAGAAACAAATATATCGGTGTTCAGAACGTCAAAGCAAATTACAGAAGTTGACATGAACTATTTCCAATGTAAAAGGCTTCATTGACTTGGTTTACACTTAGGATATTTTGTATCACCACATCTGAAATTTTTTTTTTTGAGGCTATGCCATTTTTAATTAGGCAGCCTAATGACGTCACAGGATTCCCCGGGTCACCATGAGCGGGCTTTACAAACTGCAAAATGGCTTGAAATAAAAGCTGCAATCCTTCTTTAATGTGCACTTATCCGACAAATAAACAATCTGACTAACCAATAATAGCAATACGTAACATAATTATTACGAAATCAGCATAGCCCAGTATCCAGATATGTCAATGGGATCCAAATGCAGAGCGCCCATCCCACGTCCACTCCTGACTCGGCTGTAATGGCTGCCGTTTGTGCTGATCGATCATTCACATCGGCTCAACTTGAAATTGCAGGCAAAATTATTCATATGGTTTACATTTATTTAAATTAGATGAAAAAAAGTAAATGTTTTTTCAGTTCCGAATGTGTAACTTTATGACCACGTAGTTTAACCTTTGTGTATTTTATTATTTATTTCTTCATGTTGGTACATAGGAAAACTCATGGCAACAATCTGACGATAAAGGCTTTTGATAAATACAACTGTAATAAAACAAGAAGATTGCATGCAACATTAAATTTTTGGGATGTGAAAATACATGTAATAACAGCTTAAATTAATTAAAAGAATAAGACAAACCAGAAATGACATGCCAGGTGTTATTTTGCACTGGTATAAATGAAGTGTCAACACGGATCGCACAAGACGAACACACATTCAGCATGTGGTAAAAAATGATGTGGAGTGTCTCATATCTGATAAGTAGATACCCTGTAAATATTCCGTTGAATTTTAACCATTTGATAATGTAATAGTTACATGAAACAGTAGTTTAGATGTATAATAATTATTTCTTTAGGTACAGTTATGCCCATTCCGTGATAGAAAAGTGTTTACATTTCGGTTGAAAACATTTGCATTGAGCACAAAAAACAAATTAGTTCATATTTACACTGAGGTTTATGAAATTATTATATAAAACAAAATTTGTTTGTTTCTGTTTCAGGCTTGTTTGACCATTCTCGTGCAAACTTCAAAACTGTATACCAACTGGTCCCGTACCTGTAATGTCTATTAATATTTTTTTTCTGAAATTCCCCCTTTTAACATTGTCCGTAATATTACCATTATTTATTTACAGTTTTTAGTCATAAGAAAATAGAAAAAGCAATAGTTTGTATGATGCTAAGTCACTTAATATGATATCAATGTTTAGTTGTGAATAACAGCATAAATACAGGGATGTGTGAAGAATGCAGGTTGAAAAAAATAGATGTGTT